AAAAATTATTTCTTCGGACGAGCATCCAATGCTACTGATGTGATCAAGCAATTAAAACGGCATGCACACTTGAAACCTGCATATCATCTATTGGATATTCTGAATGCATAAAAATACAATATATTATTGTTGTATTGCAAATTTTTATTTATCAGAATTATTATTAATTTGTTTTTAATCACCTACCAGTTTAGTCAGACTAGACACTTACTGTCTGGTATAGTACAAACTACTGCACAAGGCAATGACATTGTTTGAAATCATCTTTGGATAATATGCAAAACTCCTACAATATGTTTTACTGAAGAGAATCACTTACTGTAGAATACTTTATTTTAGCTGGAATAAATTTTCGCTGAAAGGAGATTTTGGGTGTTTTGTATGGAATTTATTTTCAGTGATTTTTGACGACTTGAATGTAAAAGATGGGAAAAATGATATATTCACTGGATTACTGTCTGGTATAGTACAAACTACTGCACAAGGCAATGACATTGTTTGAAATCATCTTTGGATAATATGCAAAACTCCTACATATGTTTTACTGAGAGAATCACTTACTGTAGAATACTTTATTTTAGCTGGAATAAATTTTCGCTGAAAGGAGATTTTGGGTGTTTTGTATGGAATTTATTTTCAGTGATTTTTGACGACTTGAATGTAAAAGATGGGAAAAATGATATATTCACTGGATTTTATTTTCACTGAATCATTCCTTCAGCAAAAATAGCGAAAAGTAATTCCAAGCGAAAATAAAGTATTTTACAGTAACTGAATGCTGTATCATTTGTATCCTACTTCACATAACACAACATGTTTCTATCTGAACCAATATAAATATTGTTAAATGTCCACCAAAAATCTGAGAAAATCGCGTTGGTTTGAAATGTAGCCAATTTTGAAAAAACCTCAACAATTATCATTTTTTACCTTGCCCGTACCATCAAAGATGGAAGGGAAAGGTATATTAAGGGAAAAATTTTGTCCGGCGTTGTTGTCGTCGTCGTCGTCGTTGTTGTTGTCGTCGTCATTAATAATTGTTATTGTGTGCATAATAACTTTACTAATTCTATTCCAAACTTTATCAAACTTGGTCACCTTATTCATCAGTATAAAGTCTTCCCTGAGTTTGAACAACAGATGTCCTGTATGAAAATATCATGCAAAAATTGAGAAAATCTGATAAAATATTTTGACTGTTTCTACTTGACTGATCACTGGTGATACACATCAAAGGTCACTGATCTCAGTGGAAATATGCATTGTTGTATGTGTTCAATGAAGCAAATGATTTATCTTGTAATAATATCCTTGGTAATGTATTTCAGAATCCCATACTGGGTTTCAAAACCAACTCATGGAGAGATTGCACAGTCTGATACACATTTGCAAACCTACCAATAAAATCTTTACATAAAACAAGATGTCAGAAAATCAATATAAGCACTCCTATGAACTGGGTGCCTAACTTTGATCAAGATCTAAAGCTAATAGAAAATCTGTTTAGTTCAAAGTTATCAAATCAAAAACAATACATAAAAAATACATTAAAAGCAAAACATCTCATCCACATTTGAAAAAGAAAATTATTCTAAAATATATGTATTCTGTATTTGACAAAAAGTTCATTCGACAAATGAAAACTCACAGGAATATGTTTCAGCTATTA